TTGTGGTGTAATGGTTAACACAGTGGGTTGCTAAGCGGAAGATCGGGGGTTCGAGTCTTGATAGCGCTTTTTTTGGAAAGCTTTTTAAGGAATTGAATATTGAATATTGTCTCAAAAATAGAATATTATTTCTGGAGATGACAGATTGCCATTTCTTAAGCAATTTTCTGCAAATGACACAAAAGAAACAGAAGATAATCATTTTTTTTTGGCATTTTTTTTTCATTGTAAATCCATTTTCTCAAATTCTTTCAAATTTTTCATTTATCAACAGTTTTCAATTGTTTTTTTTTCGAAATTTTCAACAATCTTTCACTAAAAACCTATAGTTTCATAGGTTTTTAAAGGGAATTTTTGAAATTTCCATTGATTTTTTTAAACCAACTCTTTCTGGACGGAACTCCGTCCAGTGCTGCGATGACTACGAGCCGTGTGAAGCGATGGATTTCGAATGGAGTACACTGGAAAGGTGTTTGATTTTATTTCCGAAATCGAAAATCCCCCTCACCTGATGGAGCCCGATGGATGGGCACTGGAGGAGGCTTGTCTCTGGAGCGAGAAGTCGAGGGCCTGCTCATAAGCCTCATTTCATTTGTTATTCATTTATCATTCATTTATCATTCATTTGTCATTCATTATTGAATACTTACAAGAAATTACTGACACCAACTTGCTTTCTTTACTTTCAAAGAATGTCTCACTGATTTTGTGGAATGTAGGCGCCGAGTGGTCGAAAGGGTTTCCCTGATGCGGCCGCCATCGAGAGACGAGCTGATTGGAGCATTTCTGCAGAATAAAATTATGGCTTTTTTTTGTGATCTCACACCTTAAATCGACGTTCTGGATGTGACACGAATCAGTAAACCAACTTCCGGATCGACTATCACTTGTAAAGCATTCAAATAATCACTAATCGCAATTTTCCAGCTCAACAACATCAACTGACGCCTCCGGTCATTGCTTAAACGATAGTGGCTTGTAAAAGCTTGTAAAAGCTTGTAAAAGAAGTTTTTTGGTTGGTGAAATGATCAGAAAAATTGGGAAAATAGCATAAAAACATTGTAAAAATCGTAAAAATAAAGAAATTTTTGAATTTCTCTGTTTTTAGAGGTTTGTTTGTTGATTTGTTTGAAAGGATTTGTTTTAAGATTTAAGATTTTTGAGATAAATTGGAAAAAAGAAAGAAAAAAAAGATTTGAATTTAAACAAAGCTTAAAGAAGATTTGATCAAAAGTTAGACAGTGTAAACATAAAAGAATCGATTGTCTTTCTTTTCTTTCTTTTCTTTTCTTTTCTTTTTCATTTTTCTCTTTCACTTTTTGGACATCATTTTTGAAAAGAGCAAATTTAAGGTCTCTCATTTGAAATGATTTTTTGGGGGAAAAAGATCTATGATGATTGACACTTTTTCGAAAGTGATTTGAAGAGAGAAAGCTCAAAGAAAAGGTGCTAGATCTGAGAGATTTGATTTAAAGTTTAAACATTTAAACGTTTAATGATTTAATGATTTAAAGATTTAATGATTTAGTGATTTAAAGATTTAAAGATTTAATGATTTAATGATTTAATGATTTAAAGATTTAATGATTTAAACATTTAAAACATTTAAAACATTTAAGACATTTAAGACATTTAAGTCTCACTAAGGTGTTAGATAGAAAAGAAAAGGTGTTAGAGCATCGAGATTTGATTTAAAGTTTAAACATTTAAACGTTTAATGATTTAAAGATTGAATGATTTCATTTAAACATTTAAAAACATTGAACATGATCTAAAAAATAGACTTCAACTTTTCTTTTAGAATCTTAAAACATTTGGGTTTCGAACAAAGTTTCGAACAAAAAGAAATTGCATGAACGCTGAGTCGTTGGGCTTAAGATTAGCCTTTCCTTTTCCATTCGTTTCTTTTTTTAAAACCTTAATTGAAAAGTTTAGTCTTGTTTTAAGCTGAAAGTTTAGCTGAAAATAGTTTGAAATAGTTTGAAAATAGTTATTCTAGAGGATTCTAGTTTAGAAATATTATATCTATTGTAATAATTAATCTTAAAGAATCATTATTAAAATACTTTTTTAAAAAATGGAAATTTTTTTCATTATTTGGAAAGAAGAAAAAAAAGTGAAATTTCGTAAAAGCTTTAGGGTGATTATTTTGTTGAAAGAGCTTTGTGGTCGGGTTTTCCGTGAATGTGTTTTGCGTGAAGAAAGACTTTCTACACATAAATAGTCTAAGAAATGCGACGGGATAAAAGGTGAAAAGTGAAAAGTGAAAAGACGTAATTGCTCGATCTTGTTCTTTTTAAGTCCCTTGTTCAGCTTTTTCAACATTTCTCTCATCTATCTTTTTCTTTGAATAAGATCGAAAATGACCAAAACTATGGCATTTCTCTAATAGTAGTAAGCGTTGTCTAAATTCCTCGAAATCTCGAGAACCGCTTACCAGAATCTATCGATGTGGGATTGGAAATGTAGCTGACGATGAGATCTAGTGGGGGATTTGAGTGTTGGACTTCTGGGAAAGCTTGGGAACTGTAAAATGGTCATCAACTCCGCTCATCGGGAAATATTAGGGAAATAGATCAGTCTGATCTACTAGTCTAACCTGGAATAATATATCGTCTTCTCTCTAATAGTAGTGTACCCAAAGCTTCGCCTAAATTCCTCGAAATCTCGAGAACCACTTATCAAAACCTATTGATGTGGAGTCGGAAAATGTAGCTGACAATGAGATCTAGTGGGGGATTTGAGTGTTGGACTTCTGGGGAAGCTTGGGAACTGTAAAATGGTCATCAACTCGACATTGTACAATATAAACAACATCTTTTAAGATGATCAATCAACAACAAAAAGATCAATCGACAAAAAATCTCTTTTCTTTTCGTTTCTAAGATTAAAATTTCTGATTTAATTACAGAATTTAGCATGTAGAAAGTTCAAAAGATCTACTAGAATTTGAAAAGAATTGAAAAGAATTAAGTATGTAAACAAAAACTTGCAATAGAACAAGCTCTCTAGCTCTCTATAGAACAAGCTCTCTAGCTCTCTATAGAACAAGCTCTCTAGCTCTTCTCTCTAGCGAAATTTGAAGGAAATCTTTCTAAGCAAAACTACGTGGCATTCATAATTTTAAATTCTTTTTGAATTCCTTTTCAGCCATTCTCCACTTCACCCAAACCCCTCCCCCCCCTTCTCCCCCAAAAACGATAATAAATGACCATCGATGAGAAAACAAAACCAAGAATAAAAGCATAATACTAAAATTGATTCGAATATTACTCCATTCGAATTCAAAAGTTCTTTTATCTCCTTTTTCTGCTTTTTCATCTCTGATCACTTAATTCAACTCAAGAAAATGATTTCATTTCACAAAGAAAGCTAAAGATTTATTAGAACAAAAGAACTGGGTTTATATTTTGAACAGTATCAAGCAGATTTGACAAGCAATGAACTTAAGCACTGAAGCACTGACAAACACTGAACTTGACAAGCACTGAGCTTAACTTGACAAGCAACATTATAGAGAAGAAACTTTCATTCATTAGAGTTTACGATTTTTGGTAAAGAATAAAAAGGTTATATTAGTTTATAATATGTAGAAAACTTTAGTGAAAAAGTGAAAAAGTGAAAAAGTGAAAAATTGAAAGCAGACAAGCAGCAGAAGAGTTTTCTTCTCCGAATTGAATCAAAAATTTCGAGATGAGACAATAGACATTTGCGAATAAAAGTCAATGAGGGTACGGGGGTGTGAAATCGGATGTGGAATCAAGATTCGATCACAAGTTAGCTCAAAAATTATATAGATTTAAACAGAACTCAATCAATCTTTTGTTATAATCAAAAAAATATATAGAAGAAGATAAATAAAACTCTTGAAATAAAAGAAACACATCATTCGTTGGAGACATTTTTTTCGGTTTACGAGTTTCCCCCAAAAAGTCCCTCGGGTATTATTTGATGTTATTGAATGAAATTTTTACTTCAAAAAAGCAATCGAAACTCATTTCTAATGCACTTAGATTCTTTTTCAGACTTTAATGCACTGCAGAGTGTACCACCAAGAACTAGCTACAGGGTGTACTACAATGTACTATCAAGAATTACTGCAACAACGTCGTATTATTTGATGAGCCCCATTTCACTTTTTGCTTACCTGTTTTTATGATTTTTTTTTTGTATTTTTCTTATTTTATTGTATGATTACTAACTTTCAATATATTACTTTTAATACATTAGTATGGTTGTTTTCAGGAATGGTGAAAGCGTCTCCACATCGACAATCGATCATTGAGCTCAAGCGGTAGTGTGTTCACGCGAGCGAGATCACAAAGCGCCTCAATGTCCCCAGGAGACTCGTCTCTCGAACCATTAAACGTTATGAAACTCAGTTTCTGATCGCCCTGGAAGAGGTAACGAACAGCGGCTACTCCGGCTAATGTCAAGAAAGTGCGCGATCGTTCAATCTGCTTTTAAATTCGTATCAGCTATACGGGGTGGCCAAGAATTACCAGCGTGTTCAGGCGAGCTCAAAGCGATCACAAAGCGCTTGAATGTCCCCAGAAGTCTCGTTTCTCGAACTATTAAACTTTATGAAACTCTGGGGCACAGTTTCTGATCGTACAAAAGGGTTTGTTTTGAGTAAAAAGTTGATTTGGCTGTGCTTTATATGCTCTCAAAACATCTACATTTTCTTTTCTCATTGTAATTTCTTTTTAAATCTCAAATATTACGTCAAATGTGTTTTATTATTAAATGTATACATGAGGAAGGGCTTTGTTAACAAAAAAAATATATAGTAAACTCAAACAAATAACTTTGTTAAACCCAAAATAAAAACCCTAACCAAAATGATGAAAAAAAAAATGAAAAAACGTTTAATTAGTTAATGTACAGAAAGCTGGGTAATATAAATGTGAAATTCAAATATTAAATTCAAATCTCATTCTCATTTTCACAACTCTATGATGATTCAAATTACGTTCTCATTTTCATAACTCCTACAATCATTCAAACATTTCAGCCATCTCGTTAAGCGCCTTGATGAACTCGCGTTGGAAACGGTGAGAGTCCTGAAAACATTTTTGAGATAATAGCTGAAGAGCTGTAGATTTGAGTTGTTGTGAAACTCACTAGAGAGAGAGAGAACTCACTAGAGTTTGCGTTTTATAAAAAAACCTCATTAAACGTACCGTATTCTCAGCGCTATGATAGCTGGAGATGTGAGCGCAAATTGAATGATTCCCAGCGAAACGATAACAAATCCCATATCTGCAACACTCATTCAATTCATCTTTACAACTCTTTCTTACACTTACCCATCTTTTGTCACCGCACCAAAGCAAGCACCAATCCACGAGAAGTCGATATCTTTGTCCTCATCAATTTGACCAGTCACATTTGGTACCTGAGAGTTGTTTGTTTGTTTGTTTGTTTGTTTGTTTGTTTGTTTGTTTGTTTGTTTGTTTGTTTGTTTGTTTGTTTGTTTGTTTGTTTGTTTGTTTGTTTGTTTGTTTGTTTGTTTGTTTGTTTGTTTGTTTAGAATTTCAAATTTTAAAAAAGTTCTTACATGACTTGTCGAGAGGAACCATTTCTGTGAGAAAATCGTTTCCAAAAATGGTGATGAGATGCCGAAACCCTTTGAGAGAACGTAAAGGACAAAGAAATGTCTGAAGATTCGAGATGAAAAGAGATTTGTTTACGATTCTCTTCCAAACCTATCAATCCCCTTTCCAATCATGCAATCTTTATTCTTGTTCACGTGTGCTTCACAAGCTTTCTTCAGCAACTTTATCCTTTCCGATTTCTGAATAAAGATCATTTTTTCGAGTGATTTTGAAGTTTACCTCTTTTGTCGAATCTTCCATTGCTTTAACGAATTGACAAGACTCTTCACCTACCTGAAAATTGGTTTTTTTAAGATATTTCTTTATTATCTTAATTTGTTTATTATCTTAATTTGTTTATTATTTTAATTTCTTTATTATCTTAATTCCTTTAATATCTTAATTTCTTTATTATAGATTTCTAATTATAACTTTAATTATAACTATTCAATTACCGTTCTCAATGTCTCCGTCCTTGAGTTTCGATAGAAACGCACTGATGCCGGCTCGTAAGTAAAAACGAAACGACCTTGATCCTGGAAAAGAGATTCAAAAGAATATGAAAATGATTTAAGTGCTTATTTTAGATTATCTTAAAACGAAACCCTATAAACAGCTAATTGAATAGCCATTTGAACAAAGGCATCCGGACTGCAACCACACTTCTTGATTCGACCCTTTCCCCACTCTCGGTAAACCTAAAAACACACTTTTTTTCTTACAATAAACTTTTATTCTATTTTTACAATCTATCTACCGCCCCCCCCCCCCCAATCATCTAAACTTACCGTAGTCGCCATATCAACATCTTGTCCAGCAGTCATTGCCGTCACCCTGCATCGCTCGATCTCAGTAACCATCTGTAAGCTATTCTATCTTTTTCATTTGACTAACATTCTGCCTAGATACAGATAAACTACAGAAATCAAAGCTACAATGATCTAATTAGGAAATATAGCTATACAACTAGTACAATCCCAACCAGTACCTCAGCATTGACCAAATCAATCTGCAACTTCTCAGCCAATTTCAATCCTTCCTCTTTCGCGAAACGACCATTTGACAACAATTTCTGCTGTTCTTCTAGTGGTTTATAACTAAAAAAACTAATAGATTTTCTTTCAGCTTTTACCTGAATACTTTAGTATCCATTAACATTACCTGAATACTTTAGTATCCATATAGACAAAATTCTCCATAATATGATCGAACTCACTCCCGTCGGCAATACTATGCTCGGTGGTGCCTCCACACTAAAAAGATCAAATTGTTCAATGATTGATCAATGATTGATCAATGATCAATGATCTCAACTGACTCTTGTGTTCTTGTTCATGATGTAGTTGAGTGACTTGTCCGCCCATCGATTCGACCCATTCCCTGTCAACATATTCCTCATAAAATTGTCCAATTTCTCTGGATGATTCTGAAATTTTTTTGTTTTGAAAATCGATTTAATTTGATTTCCTTGACTCACCGCCTCATAATCCCAATCGTCCTCTTCATCCATAGTGAAAAAGAAAACAGCGCTCTCGATAATCTACAGTAGATAGAGATTTATAAATCTTCTAATCTTCTAATCTTCTAATCTTCCAATCTTCTAATCTTCTAATCACTCTTCACCTCTAAAGCTTTCTTGTTCTTCACGTTCTCCAAGAAGAAGCGACGACGATTTTGATGCCATTGGTCTCTAGAATTCAAAAAGCATCGAACTAGTAAAGTGTTATCAAATTTTCAAATGCAAAACTGTTTTCTAAAACTAAAACTCACCTCCGATCTGATGTGAGCGCACAAATGTGAGCGAGTGGTCCGTTTTGAGGCTCAAGCTCAGCACGAGTGAACAATTCATCGAAAATTCTAAAAAATAAGCTTTTTATTATCATAAAAACTTAGATATTAGCATAAATACTTTGTTTATCCTTTACTTTGTTATAAATACTTTACTTTACTTTGTCATAAATACTTTACTTTGTCATAAATACTTTACTTTGTCATAAATACTTTACTTTGTCAACTCATCGAGTGTATACATCTTCCCACGATCATCACAATATTGCATTTTGTAGATGTTTCCTTTTAGCAAAATAGCTACATGATTGCTTGTGCCTAGATTTTAAAAAATCAGTTCCAAGTTTCTAAACTCTCTTTACCGTAATTCACTAGATTGTCGATCGTCTCACCGGGTACTCGATTCACCGCATACATGTTATCGTAATGACAAGCACAAAGAAGACCATCACCCAACTGAATATCTTGATTTATTAATGAAGTTAGTGATCTATCTCACTGAATAGAGTGAACAAAATGCCAGCCTCTCTTCCCTTTCACTCACCGGTTTATAGTTTTGACGATGAATGGCCATTTGTGAAAGTGATTCGATTGCTACAACGTGCGCAGCCCGAACTGCTCTCATTGCTGGAGCATCACGGAACAAATCCACATGTGCAACGGAGGAGTTGATCAAGAGAGGATCTCTAAACATTTTGACAATCTCTGATACCCATAAAATTCTCACCTTCCATACAAATACACGTATTTACGCCAAAAATCTGACACATAATTGGTGGTGAAAAGACTGTAGAGACGTGCGTACATTTGAAGCTTTTTTCCCTCCTCTTTCAGAAACTTTTCCCCTTGTTCCGTGATCAAATCCAGCTCGTCCTGTGGTTGAAATCATGTTGAAATCTTTTTCAGCAAATTTTACCTTTCCAACAATGTGCTTGATGCTTTCCAAGTATTTAGCCACATTCTCCTGAAGATTTGGAACGGGTTGCGTGGGAAGGAGGCGCTCACAAGATTGGAGACGAGGTGGACAAAATGAGAGAACGGCACGTACGATCTGGAATTGAATTTTGAGTTTAAAGGAGGAAATTCTCTCACTCACTCCCCAAATCCTTGTCGTAATCGATGGTTTCTTTGGGTTATCAAAGAGAAAACCCTTGTAGGAAAAGTAGAAATGCTTGAGGAAACGACGAATGACAAACACAGGAATATAGGCTGAACCCAGTGAGAGAACGGTGATCTTCAGAGTCTGAAAAGGAGAATAGAGGTTGATTTATTGATAGATTATTTGATAATGCTTCATTTCATTTCCTCTTAACTAATAAATTCATTTAAAGCTAGATCTATTCCTCCCAAAAGCTCAATCTATAAAAACTTGTCTCTTTGATGTGTACTTTGTCCGATCTTAATCATTTCTCGATTTTCTTTGAGAAAACAGTTTTCCTGAGAGACACACGTGCCTTTTTTGACCCGGCTTTGTTATCAATCTTTTTTTGCTAGCTTTGTTTTATCTTCTCATTTTTTGCCTTTTACACTTCGAAAGGTTTTTTAGGAGGGATTAATAAGTAAAAAGAATGGAAATGGTCAGCAAAAGGATTCTAAATTCAACATTGAACATTCAACAGTTATCCTTTCACCTCTAGCATCACATTTTCGGTTTGCGGCAACAAATTGAGGAGGTAATTCGACGGATTTCTCCAATGATAGGCGGCGATCGCTGTGGCCGCCATCCCGTAGTAGAGCGGGCGAACAGGCCACATTCGATTCTCGACAGCATTCTAGAAATGTTTATTCATTTCATTTTGGGGAAATTGAATCACGAATATATTTCAACGATTCACTCACATAAGTCTGATAGACGATTTGCTCGAAACGGCTCGGATAATGCTTGTAGAGGGGAAATGGAGAAATGATCGGCTAAAATGTGAAAATTCGATCTCTTACTCTTACTAAGTAATCACGGTTTATATTTGTTTTACTTGTTTTACTTTTTCTACTCTATTCGAAATTCTTTCAAACCTTTTCCTTCTTCTTGATCGGATCATGAGAACCCTCTTTCACAGTCATTCTTCTAGAACACAAAAATTAGAAAAAGTAAATTTAAGTAAAGAATCTATACAAACATGCAAAATCTTTAAAGTTATTCAAAAGAAAAACAAGAAACTTTTTAAAGCTCAGCTACGAAATGAAGTCACAACAAGATTCAGCGTCTTTATGTTTGCTCAGAAGAATGACTCCTAATCAGTGAGAGATGTGGGCAAGATTGCAAATGAGAAAAAAAAGAGAGAATGAAAAGGATGCAAAAGATTGTACTTTGCCCGATCTCGACCCAGTCACTGTGGATGTGCAGAGGAGAGAGAGGAGAGAGAGAGAGAGGAGAGAGAGGTGTCTTTTTGTGTCAACCATCCCTCTCCCTCTTTCTCTTCTCTCCGCGTGGCGTCCAGCATGGGAAAAATAGACCAGAGAGTTTAAAACTTAAAGAATAAAGATAGTTTTTTTCTTATTGTAGATTCCCCGATAAGCCTTTAACGAGAAAGTGTAGTAGAAAAGAAGTTTTGTTTATGAAAGTCTAAAAATTTTGAATGATCGTTAACAGATCGTCAATAGATCGTTAACAGATCGTCAATAGATCGTTAACAGATCGTCAATAGATTGTTAACGTGGCTATGCTCAGGGATTTTTCTAGATTCTAGGATTTGTAAATCAAGCCAGAATTGAAAGACAAGAAAGAAAAGGAAGTAATTTCTGTTATTTTCAGTAAAAAGTAACTCCACAAAAACATGGTGATCAGCCGGGAAAGGAGTTTGAGGAAAGAAATTGGTTTGTTCTCTTTTCTATTCTCTTTTCTATTCTCTTTTCTATTCCCCTTTCCATTCCCTCTTCCATTCCCTGTCTGTTTACAAGTTGAAATTTATTTTCTGAGCGTTTATCCCAATCAATAACAAATAAATATATTTTTTTAACGAAAAAAATCATTCTACTAAATAAACTAAAACTGGTTTTTGGTGAAAAAGTAAAAAATATTTATTGGTTTTAAAAACTTTTCAATATTACAAATGGCAGGTTTAAAATGAAAGAATTGAGTTTTCGAGTTTCAAGTTTAAAAAAGAAAGACTTTAAAAAGGCTGTACCGATGTACCAGGCTAAAAGTTGGATTCAAAAAAAAATGATAGCTTTCCATTTTTTTAAAGTAGACTTTAAAAAAAGAAATTAGAAAAGATTTGCTTGAATAAAACGTAAGAGACGAAAGGAGAAAGGTTAAATGGTGAATTTGTGAAGAAGAAAAAAAGCGGGAAAGCGTGTCTTCTTTTTCCCCTTCTCCTCAATCCCTTTTGACCATAGCCTGCGGGCGTAAACGGGGTCGATATGAGCAAATGAAAAGGGGAAATAGTGAAAGCGTTGAAGAGATGAAAAATATGAAAAGAAATGTTATTAATCACTTGGAATCAAAGCAAGAGATTAGTTTGCACTATTCAAGCGTATAGCTTGAGATAAGTACACTATTCAAGTGTATTGCTTGAGATAAGTTTACACTATTCAAGTGTATTGCTTGATTCAAGCTATACACTTGAATAGTGACATCAAGGCTGAAAGCTGAGAACCTTGAGAGTTCAATGGATCCAACAAGAATGAAAATTAGCTTAGATTAGCGTAGATTCTAATCCGAAAGCCTTTTTGATTGAACTGAAACTCTCGGATAACAAAAAAGTTGAACGGGAGTTGAACTGCTAACGCTCAACAATTGATTAAGCTATTCGAGAAAGAGAAAAGAAGAGAATCAGCGTTCAACTTTGTTAAACTTTAGCCAACTTTAACTAACTTAAACTCTGAGACCTCTACAGTTGTGGTAGAGACTACTTGTGTTAGTGTAATTGATTGATTCCTATAGTTGGTTTAGAGTTTAATGAGAGAAGGAGTGCCTTTCATCATTCTACACACAAAATAACACCATTAAATCCTCACAAAAATCATTTATTTACAAAAAAAACAATCCGATGATCATCGATGAAACAAAAAGACAAATAAGCACAAAAATATCGGAATCATTGTTGACAATTTGAGGGATGAATTGCATGTATCTTGTGCACAACAACAGATGTAATCTTTGGGGTTCGTTCCGCAGCCGGTTTCCTGCAAAAAATGTGTTGTATCAAGTTTTATGAGAATTTATACGCAAAGCGTCTTTTTGAAAGAAGACTTTCGCAAGACTGCCGTAATCATGTCTTTAGTTTTGCTCTACTACTTTTAGTCTTCGCATCCATCGCTCGGTACTGTTATGCAAACCGCTGCTTACTGCAATCGCCTATGCTTTCTAGTGGTGATTTCAAATTCTTGAGCAACCAACCTGACATACGGCAGCACTCGCACAAGAATGTGCCTCGATTTTGGTGTTATTTCCGTACAAATCCTCCGTTTCCAGATAGCTCGAGTAGCAGAATTTGGTGTCTGAAGAGTCACTGCATATATAATGAAGTAAAGTAAAGTTTAGTTTGTGTTGTGTAAGATGAGCTATTGTTAAAAAGCTATTATCAGAAATAGTCTTTTAAGCATAGTTTTCAAAAGATCTAAAGGTGAATAAATTTAAATTCGATTGAGGCAGGATAAATGCAAATTCGAAAGCCTAAAAAACAAAGCTCCAACCAGGCGGACACTCAACAGTGGCGTGTGTCGGATTCCAGCTTGACGTCACCATGTAATCATAACAAGTCAAAGCCATTGATGGCGGGAATAAAAAGTAGATCAATTGATAGAACATTATAGAGATGCAATGGGATTTCAGTAGTGAATCACTCAGAAACTTGTTGTTTGATGGCAAAAATGGGGTTCGGCAGGGCTTAAGGAAAAGAAGAGGTGAAAAGCAAAAGGAGAAAAGCACTCTTCTCCAATTTCCCCACAGCTGCATAAATATTGCCGAGAATCCGCTTCACGAAGTGAAAAAATGGGAAAGAAGAGACCCTTATTGAGGTTAGATGAGAAAAAAAAGGACACCAAGAGAAAACTTTTCAAGTTTTCAAGTCACAAAAGTAAAACAATCAGTTCGTTCGCCAAAAAAATGACTGCGTAAACAATGCCAATTATGGTGCTCATTGGAGTGTTTATTTGATACACGATCCTTGCTGTATAAACCTCGAAAAGTCAAACTTAAAACAGAAACTGGTTCTTGGCCCCTAAAATTTTGACCAACCAGCTTTCCCCGAATTTTTCCTTTCTAAACACAAAGTATAAACTTTTATTGAACAATTACTATTCATATGCACATAAGAAACACTAAAAAGACGTGTAATATACATTTAAACAAACTTTGATATCGAAAAGTAAACGAAAATTTCCTCGTATATCTTATCTAATGACTGCTGACTAAGCGTGCAAGTAGAACTCCGGTCGTTTCTCCTCGGCGTACGGGTTCTCGTTGTATCCTTGCGCTGCCTTTCGGGCCTGAAAATGAATATTTTAGTATTAAAATCGTTGTCATAAGTTTACAATTAACAAAATTCAAAGCCCCACCTCAGACATGGTGACCGAAGCTCGTGTGACATTATTTGTTACATAGAAGTCAGGCAAATCTCGTTGAGCGGGAGTCAATGACAAATCGACCGATCCACCCTAAAGAACAAATTCAGTTGTTGTTTTGAATCAGCTTTTTCCGTCTACTTAATCTGCAATCAACCAACCTGTGCTAATTTAGCTGCCAAGTGTCCAAATGAAGAGCCCTCAAGATCTCCATATCGATTCAAATGTGGAGCTAACTAAAACGAGCAAGTAAAAGTTTATTATGATAACTACAAAACAATACCTCAATCAATCGAACCCTCAGAGCCTTGATGTCATCGTATGGAAGAGTTTTACCAGCAACCTAAATTCAATTTGAATATGAAAATTTAAGTATACTACACCTCAGATAGAGCTCGAATAATCTTCCAATCATGACGAGCTTCTCCTGGTGGCGAAACCGCTGGATATCCCCGTTGCGCTCGTCCCTCGGTGTTCACATAGATTCCCTCCTTTTCTGTGTAGGCGGCACCCGGGAAAACAACATCCGCCATTTCAGCTCCACGATCACCATGATGGCCTGAAGGAAAAGGATTAAATCTTTCCTCACTTGTAGCATAACAAAGCGCTTGTAAAAACAGTCAAGAAATAAAGGTTACCTTGATAAACCACAAATGCTCCTGGGTCGAGATTCTGCTTTGTCACAGCTCCCTCATCCGCGTCGAGTAGATATAAGAATTTGACGGGCTTCTTGCGAATAGCCGATGTACCAGGCTAAAAGTTGGATTCAAAAAATTATAGCTTTCCATTTTTTAACCTTATATCCAATGTCAAGTGCACCGGTTTGGTTTGCTGTTCTTTGAAGAATGTTGAGAATTTTGGCCGACTTATCCTAAAAAGTCATAGCTGAACGCAAAGAAAATGTAACCTACCGCATTTCCACTTTGGAGCTTTGCTGTTAGTTCTTGTAGCCGAGTAAGCAACTTGCCACCATCATCTCCTTTCAACTTTTGTGAACCGACGATGATTGTTGGATTTTTCGCAGCCAAAAGCTTCTAAAATAAAAAAAATATATTTCAAGGCCAATATTTTACAATCACCTTGGCAAAATCGCCATTTCCTTTCAATAGTTCATCCAAAGCCTTCGCGTTGTCACCAAGATGGGTGTAGTTGTAAGTGAGATCTCCTGAAATTTATTGTTAGTAAAAGTGATAATCCACAAAAATCTGTGGCTATATCTATGATAACAGATAAATAAACTCACCCGGGTTTCCGATAACGCCAACCTCGACTTCAGAATAGAGATAGCTAAGCGTATATTGCTTTTAAGTTGTTTAAAAATGCATACTGTTTGCGAATGCGAGCATTCAAGACAGCAGCTTCGAATCGTGGGTTTGTCCCAACAAGAAGGATCACATCCGATTTCTCGATACCAGAAAGTCCCGAGGCAAACGTGTAATTAGTTCTACAGTCCTTTATGAAGAAAATAAAAATGCATAAATCTACCTCAAATCGACTCCACCGCTCGTCAACGGGAACTCCTCCTCTGTGCACAGATTTTCGGCGTTAAAGCGATGGAATAAATCCTTGAGCGCAACCATTGATTCTAAAATAAAAAAGGCATAAGTCAATTTTACTGCTAAAATCTACCAAGATCAGCCATGCCTCCAACAATAGCTGCTTTTTTGATCGGCTGGCGTTTCTTTCAGACGTTGCGCAACAGTGAACAGCGCTTCCTCCCAAGAGACAGGTCTAAAGTAAAAAAAACTACAATTATAGAGCTCAATGGAGTTGAGCCAACGACTTGGTCGTACTTTTTACACTTTATTAGATCTATTGAGGAAACTTACTGTAGCACGCCATTGGATCCCTTGGCCATTGGTGTGAACAATCGTTGCCGTTTGAGTCCATCGTATGAGAAGCGAGCCTGATCCGAGATCCACTCCTCGTTAACTTCCTAGAAAAGAAGAAATACAGCATACGTTAATTTTAACGTACATCATTCATTTTCGGGATGATGCGCATCACCTCGCCACCTCGGTGCGAAATCACAATGTTCTGTCCAGTTCCGTCCATCACATCAACAGACTCGGTTTTTCTGAGTTCCCAAGGACGAGCATTGAAGCTAAAACGAATTGGTGAACATTCTAATTACCGTTGCTTACCTGTATGGCTTGCTTGTGAGTGCGCCAACGGGGCAAAGATCGATCACGTTTCCAGAGAGCTCGGAAGCAAACATTTTCTCGACATATGTTCCAATTTGCATTTCATTTCCACGGCCTGTTGTTCCCAAATCCGGCACTCCACAGACCTAACCAGAAAGTTAAAAATTATTGTTTCAAGGTGTTTACTTCATTAGCGAATCGAACACAACGTGTGCACTGAATACAACGCGTCATCACCGTTTTCACAAGAGGACCGATGTTCTTATCCTCGACAGCCCTAAATTAAGACTTTTTGACGTGCAATTTATACTGTTACTTAAATTTGCAAGAAAAACTGGCTGTTTTGAAGTTTCACAAAATATTCGTAAATCACCTACCTTTTCCCATCTTGCCCACATTGATGTCGACTGCGATCCGAGCCAAAAACGAACGACTGATCTTGCAAGTCGCATTCACCTCCCTAAAACAAAGACAAAAATATTGAGCACAAAAAGATTAAAGCATGTTTGTGATTAGAGTTTACCTGATCGCAAATAGGGCAATCGAGCGGGTGATTCACGAGAAGAAACTCCATGACGCCTTCACGGGCTTTCTTTGTGAAATCCGAGTTCGTTTTCACTTTCATCCCTTTCATGACAGGCATGGCACATGAAGCTACCGGCTAGAAACAAATAACTTGTTAAAAAGCAAAATCTTACACACCTTAATGCTTTTCTCGACTTCCACCAAACACATTCGGCAGTTTCCGGCTACCGAAAGTCGATCGTGATAACAAAAGCGGGGAATATCGACTCCGACAAGGGCACACGCCTAAACAAGAATAATAAGAGCAATCTAGTTAACGTTTACCTGCAAAATCGTCATCCCAGGGTCGACAAGCACCGATTTCCCATCGATAAACACCTGAATTAAAAAGATTACCAATAAGTTTAAAAGCAGTACCTCAAATTTGTCAGGTTTCGCCTGTCCGGCTTGACCCCTGAGTCCACCGCATGATCGAGCCGCTTTGAGGAGACCTCCAGAAGCGACTCGGTGCATGGTTAACCCAAAAAACGGCTGAAAAGAAGGTATTATAGGCATCAAGGGCAAACGTATGGGACTTTCTACGCATATTTTTCAAATTTAAATTTGGCAGCACAAGTGCTTGTACAAACATTTGTTCAAAGATTTAGCCCCAAAATTACAGGCACCAGATATCATATCATAATGCAGGCAGATATCATAATGCATCGAGCATCATTAAAATTCACTTTTTTCACCCGAATACTTTATTTACCATAAATATTCTCTAATTAGATTGTAAACGGAAAAAAAAGATGACAGATATCACAGATGAATGAGTGCGAAAAAAAGTAACACACGACAAGACCATATAACCAAACCGAAACCATCAAAAAACGACATTTCGTTTGCATCACTAAAAATAAAAGCGCAATGGGAAAAGTTGCAGAGAAAATGATTATGCACAAAATAAATACTATTTACACACAAAATGGCTACTGGAAAGAATTCTCGTCGGCTCCAGCACCGACTCTTATATGCGGGTTGGCCATCGGGTCGAACATCGGATTCGAATCGTCATTGCTTTGGAAACCGAGCTAAGTTTTGCGTTATTTATGTCGTAAAGTAGATATTTTACCTTTCCCATTAGATGTGTGATTGTCACTATTGCAACGATAACCAGGAAAAGGATGAAGAGCAACCGTTTCCCACGGCTCATTGGTTGACCACCTCCGGCCGAATTGCCATATTTAGCTCTAAAGCAAAAACTATCATCAACAATCCTCATACCTTTAACTATAATAAAGTCTATTTACAAAAAAGCCATAATTACCTCCAAATCCCTCCAAGCCATTGCATTACTGGCCGACGTTTGTACTTGTTGCTTGCATCATCCGAGTCTCGATCTCTTGACAGCAGTGGTCTTGTATCATCTCGTCCTCCATACGAATCACCATACTTCTTTCTTTCTAAACAAATTAACATATTCACTTATAACTTCTTAACAAAAACCCGTAATATCGGTTGCAGAGGCTGATCCTCGTGCTCCATAAGCGTCATCAACATCTACAATTGTAGCTGGAGTACTTGTTCTAAAATTTTAACTTTTTCAACTAAAAAAATTTGCAGTTGCTACCTGTAATTTCCGGAGTATTGAACGCTATCACTTTGCGGCGTTTGGTAGATCGGGTGATGAGTTGGCGTAGGTGGCGTTGGTCCGTTTGCAACTTTTGGCTGCTTCAATGGAACCGGATGAGTTGACCGATTCTTGTCAAGCTCGGGTAGCTAAACTTTATTAAAACCAGCCAAATTCAAAAACTTACAATAGGCAAGCCAATTCCGACGCGGGCCCAATTTGCTTCTTTTAGTTGCAAGCGTAACTTCTCTATGAGTGGTGATTGTTGCTCTGTCGAAGGGAAAAGTGCCTCTCTAAAATTCAAAAGTCAACAGCAAGTTTAAAAAATTAACCTGCAAAATGGGCATTTGTATCCAGCGGGTGCAGTATTTGCGGGCATATTTCGAGCCCATGCGTCGAGACAACCCCAATGGAAAATGTCTAAATAAAACATACTTAACCAAAAACTTTTGCGCCTTACGTAGACATTGTAGTCGAATTGTATCCCTTCCTGGTAGCGGCGTTTCGCAAAGAGCACAATTTGGATCGTAGTCGCTGTCTTGAAGCCATTGAAGATATGATTGGACGACACACTAAAAAATGAAATTTTGATAGAGAAAGCATCGTGTTGCCTATGATTTTTGTTAAATGGCAAATTTTTGGATAAAATGAAAGCTAGTTTTGTCCTAAAGCATTATGTAGCAATTGAACTCTATCAATTTACTTTGTTTAACTTTAGCTTGACACAAAGCGAAGCAAAACTTACATTTGAGTGTGAATCGACAAGGCAGAACTCGCACACGTTAACGCGATGCTCAAAACAGAAGAGATTCGTGACTTTGCGCTTCGGACATTTGCATAAACCCATGCCTAAAATTTATTTTGCCTTCATAAAAAAGTTAATAAACGGTAAATCGAATTAAGATAAAACAAGAAAATCATCGGGGACAAAAAAACTACGCTGAATTCACGGAGAAACGAGAAAAATATGCTACACGATGACTAAAAAAATTGTAGGAGATTGGAGCAATCGAACGGGAGAGAATTTTGGATTAGGAACTTCTTGCAATGAAAGACTTTTTACGGTTTTTTATAACTATTTTCTAACTTACAAATATTCATTCAAAGGAGTGAAGAACTTTCGGGGGGTGGCACAAATGCGACCTTTTTCGCGCACCTGGACATTTGCGCACTTTTTTTTTACTGGAAAAGGCCTTAGGAAAGGCCGTAGAGCTTCAAAAATGTTTTCAAACAAGGGAATCGTATGCGTAGATTCCGAATTTCGACAAATCAGACCTCGCTGACACGTTGGGCTAAAAGGCAAAAACTGCAGAAAAGCGTTAAGTTCAGTAGTTTTTGCCTTTTAGCCCAAATTTGACGTGTCAGCGAGGTCTGATTTGTCGAAATTCGGAATCTACGCATACGATTCCCTTTGTTTGAAAAACATTTTTGAAGCTCTACGACCTTTCCTAAGGCCTTTTCCAGCAAAAAAAGTGCGCAAAAAAGGTCGCATTTGTCCCACCCCCGTTTTATCATTTATTTTTTTGTGTCCAACTTACAAGAAGCGCCCTCATAATGTACAAGTACAACAAATCAAACAAATTTTCGTTATCTGGTACAGTTTACACATCGTTTTTAAGTGCTGAGCGGATTTTCGGAGGGATAAACTGTGCCCAAAACTTAAAAGCTGTGAAATCGGAAATGTTAATCACAAAAAAAGATATCGGTGCTCATTTTTTAGCTACTCAATGATGGGGTGATTGGATCGGTGTTAGGAGATCGGGAGTGCCCGGGAAAATATCGAGCCCATGGGGTCCAGGGCTGATCAACATGTCCCGGGGCTGATGGTTGCTTTCCGGCGACGTGACCACCCCGTCCTCCAACGCCAATCGCTGCTTCTGTTGTCTCGGAAGCAAGAATGGTTGTTGTTGTGGTGGTGGTTGGTTGAGTTTATTCTGATTGTTTAACTCTTCCCAGGCCTCCTCGTTAAAGTCCAAATCCCATTGACCACCGATTAAATCCCTGCAATTGTCGATCCCCGCGTCAACCCCGTTCAAGTATTCGCTAAACTCATTGTGGAAAGTGTTAGGCTGCATCTGCGTAGTGTTTTGCTGTAAAGTAGTTGTTTTTGGGTGATTGTAGACGAACTCGTTGTTTGATGGCTGATAGTTTCTCTGGGGAACGTTCATTTGGGTAGCCATTGGCTGGTTGTTCTGATATTGTGGGACTCGTGGGGTTCGTGGAATGTTCTGTTGCTCAAAGTTCCTATTCGGCACTGACGAATTGTAGCTGCTTCTAGTCGTCATTGGTGCAGAGTAATCGTTCGGGTGTGGCATTGGCGGCGGTTGTGGAGGACTCTGCGAAAGCTCATCAGTGACATCGGCAATGATCGGTCCCTCATTGTCACAGTTTCCAAGATTTGGAAATCCTTTGACAATGCCGCTGTCGATCATTTCCCGTTGAAGACGATCTAGAATTTCTGTCAATTGTGAACCTGAAGCCATTCCGGTTGACGAAGTTCGATACCGCTTGTTTGGCGGCTCATCGATAGCCAACAGATTTCTCTTGGCACCCAAGCGGGTGTTCTTGGTGGTGTTCGGTTGCACAAGAGCTACGATAAACTGCACAAGCTTGTTGACTACTTGCTGCTGTTTATGGTGTTGAGCACGTTGATGAGATATATGTTCCCACAATGTCCCATTCTCTTTCACCAGCTGATCCATTTTTGCGTTCATCGATTTTTGTTTTTCGCGCAAGCTGTGCAACTCATCCATAACGACATTCAGATTCTGATTCACCTTATCAGAAGTGTCCGTATTACTTTGTGCTCTAGCCGACGATTTGCGTTTGATCTGAACCAAAAGCTCTGGACGATCCCTAACAAAGTAGGGATGACTGAACTCTAAATGATCCTGATCGGATTCAGCTCTCGTCAATCCACCTCGATCGATCGGTGTCATCTTTCGGAACCCGTACATGTTGAGCTGTCTGATTAAACTGTTCAAGTTATTGTGCTTGAAGTAGTGCGGTAACACATTTCGGCAAAAGCTGTAAGGGTCGATAATATGAAATGAATATCCGCTATCATCCCAACGAATGATCTGCTCAAGAGTCGGATCAGCAACAATATTCCACAATTTGATCAAAAATAACGGCATCTTGTCATCCTCTTTAAGTTGCGGTATAGAAGATGGACTCGAATCGTCAGCATTGTCACCCGGTGGTTCGCGTCCGGCTTGATACATCAGGCTTGTCGTTGTTTGTTGAGTAGTCTAAAAATTTTCTTTTTGCAATGGGAAATTGTTAGAAAAGGGTTTAATTTGAAAAATGCAACTTCAATTATGTAAACAATTGCAAAATTTAATAAATTAAGCGGAAGAAGTGATAAGTTCAACGTGCGCCTACGCTAAACTATCGACAGCTCTTTTTTCAGCGAAAGTGACGAAAATACGGTGGAAAAAGTGGCATTTAACTTGAAAGTTCACAGAAATTTCCCCATTTTCCCCAAGACTTTCCTCATTTTTCAATTTCCGATTTACTTTCAACTTTTTTATCGGTTTTAAAAATAATGTTTTTGTTTTAGAAATGGCTGGGGATGATACGCTGAAGGCGTTTCTAGAGAGCGTGAGTGGGATCAGCAATGCCGTCGATCGATCAAACAAAATGAAAGACGAGGCGAACAAGTACTTTAAAGGTGAGATTTTTAAGGCTAAAATTTATTCAGATTTATAAACCAATGGCAAATTTCATTGTTTAGATCAGAGCTACGATGCAGCGATCGAGCTCTACTCAAGAGCGATCGATGCCCATCCCACAGCTGTTCTCTATGGAAATCGCTCTATGGCCTACTTGAAAAAGGTAACAATGAGAGTTTTTGAATGAAATCTAGCCTTTTTGCTTCAGGAGCTATTGAAAATATCATCAGCTTTAGGAACTTTATGGAAGCGCGTTGGAGGACTCGGACAAAGCGATCGAAACCGATGCAGCTTATGTGAAGGGATACTATCGACGAGCGACTGCAAATATGGCGCTAGGACGATTCAAGAAAGCTCTCAAGGATTATGAGGCTGTTGTTAAGGTACCTTTTTTGAAAACTCAGTGGAAAGATTAAATGTTTAGTTAAAAAATCTATTTAGGCCTGCCCAAAAGATGCGGATGCTATCCAGAAACGCTCGGAATGCTCAAAGATTGTCAAGAGAATCGCTTTCGAGAATGCGATCTCGTGCGATCACGACAAGAAGAGCATCACCGAATCAATAAACGTCGATTCGATGGGTTGGCTATTAAGTTTTCACTAGTTTTTTTTTGATTTTACAAAGCAAAAATGCAATTTTATCGACATGCAAAGTGAAGAATAATTTCTTTAAACAAACCGTTTAGAAGTAGAAAACTCCTACACCGGTCCCAAACTCGATTCGGCGATCACAAAAGAGTTCATGGTGGATCTCATTAAGACTTTCAAAGACCAAGGCTCTTTGCATAGGAAATACGCTTACAAGGTTCCATTGAATGAAAAATATAATTTTTTTTATTTTAAATTTTAGATTCTTCTTGACATTTATGCTTACTTCAAAGATCAACCGTCGATGATCGAAATTACGGTTCCAGATAAGAAAAAGGTGAAGAGCTTTTTTGTAACTTTTCACAAAAATTCCTTTAGTTTACGATTTGTGGTGATGTGCACGGGCAATTCTACGATCTTTGCAATATTTTTGAGATTAACGGGTTACCAAGCGAGGAAAATCCTTATGTAAGTGTTATATGATTAATTTATAAAGATTATGATTTTTAGTTATTCAATGGTGATTTCGTGGATCGGGGTTCTTTCTCGGTGGAGACGATCTTCACGCTTTTTGGCTTCAAACTTCTCTACCCTAATCATTTCTTCATGTCCAGAGGAAATCACGAAAGTGACACGATGAACAAAGTGAATGCATTGGGATTTTTTGTATTTCATTCACAGCAAACATGTCTTATTCGTAGACTTCTATTCAAATTTTTATAGTTACCTGAATTACTTTATGTCTTTAGATGTACGGTTTCGAGGGCGAAGTGAAAAAGAAGTTCAACCCACAGATGGCCGAGCTCTTCACCGAACTTTTCTGCCATCTCCCGCTTTGCCACTTGATTAGTGGAAAAGTTTTTGTGAGTTTTCTAGAAGTTTTATGTTAATGTTCAAAAGTGACACTCAACGTGCAAAGTTTTATCTCTAGGTTTGTCATGGCGGTCTTTTCAAGGAGGACGGTGTCACTTTTGGAGGATATCCGCAAAACGGATCGAGTTCGACAACCGCCCGAGGAGGGAATCATGTGTGATTTGCTGTGGTGAGAGCTTAAAATTTTCATTAAGTTTGTCTATAACTATTTCAAGATTGGCAAAGCATTTTCAAATGTTGGATGTAGTTTTCTTTAATTCCAGGTCCGACCCTCAACCGATCAATGGCCGGTGTCCCTCGAAGCGTGGAGTCGGCTGCCAATTTGGACCCGACATCAGCAAAAGATTCTGTGATACAAATGGCATTCAATATGTTGTACGGTAAGTAAACCGATATTAATTCTGTCAATTTTTATCATTTTTAGATCACATGAGGTCAAGCCGGAGGGATGGGAGAAACACCATGACGGACGAGTGTACACCGTGTTCTCGGCTCCGAATTACTGCGATCAGATGGGGAACAAGGTAACTTTTCTGCTAATCAATTAGCGATTCGCTCAAGACGCAAGCCGAGTCACTTTTTAATCGGCTAAATTTTGATTTTTTCGTGAATTTTTACAGCTTTCTCTCTTTCAGGGCGCGTTCTTGACGATCCAGGGTCCCGACTTCACTCCCCGTTTCACTTCATTCGATTCGGTACCACATCCACCTGTTCCACCGATGGCATATGGAAATTCTCTTTTTGGTTTTTGTTAGCGACGATTAGTCTTTGATTTAGCATTGTTGACAGAATTTTTCCCTTTGATTCTTCCACATTGTTTCCTTGGTACTTATGGGTTAGTACTGTCATTGTTCTTTCTCGAATTTTGATAATTCAAAGGGCATGTTAAGTTTGAATTACTGGTAGAACTCATAAGCATCCGTTTCCCTTTTTCGTTTTGATATACTCAGGACGTCACGTTAATATCCTTAAAATTTTCTCATTTTCCTCTGGTTCATTTAGTGATACGTCTAGATTTTGCAATTTTGTAATAGTCCTTTGTGATTTTCCCCTCAATGTCTCCTTTCTCGATTCTTTTTTCGTCGTTTTCTTCTTGGAAAATTTTTCTTGTTAGTCGTGATTGTTGTTGTGTTTTTGTTTTAAGTGATCATCTTATACCTTTTCGTTGGTTTAAATGATCGTTTTAGATACAAAAAACGTCAACTGCACAAACTATGGTAGCTTCTCACGTTTTGGGCTTTTAACAAGTGTTACTACTCAAGTGCGGAAATCTACAGTTGATTACCCGAGCTACGTAATTTTTCAGGCAAAGTGTGTACACGAACAGTTTTAAACCTGAATTTCAAATGCCGAGGTCGAAAAATGATTTCTCAACTCATTTCCACACCTGAAAAATGACGAAAAACTGATCAAAAGCGAGAAAAAAGAGAAGAATGACCGGGAATTGAGACTGACCTTCAGAAATCGGAAAAGAGATGAAAGAAAATAAGTGAAAAGAGGAAAAAAGGGACAAATTTCCCTCACAATCACATCACTGTTCCCATCTTTTTTCTTCTCAAAACCCAGAGGCAAAGAATTTCTCAATTTTTACCCTGAAAGTGATTGTTTGCTCTACATTTTCACTTTTTTTTTCTATTTTCTGACATTCCCTGCCAAAGTCCTGTGCTTTTTTCTTGGCAAAACTCTACAATTTTTGTATAACTCTGAAAATGTTGCTTGTACTGTTGATGCTACAGCAATTCTTGACGATTTCCGCTTTTGATCTCGCGGTAACACTCGATCCGGCGATTCCTACTGTACCGTGGGTTTTTGACGAATCCTTTCTTTTGACAGTAATTTTATCTCGATTTTTTTTATCCAATAAAGCAAGATTACAATAGTTTAGGGAAAAAGGGTAATTTTTGAGTTGAACAAGCAGATTCACAATTCCGCAATTCCACAATTCCACAATTCCAACATTTTAGACCAACTGCCCATGAGAACCCGGACACATGCATCGGGCATTGTGCTCTCGCTTTTGTTGAATCAATCGGTGGCCAACTTGGACCTGATAGGTAAGAACAAACAAAAAAATGATATCAAATAAGTAAATCATGTAAAATTCGACATTTCTAGAGCCGTCTCTCTGCTCCAACTCAATTACAACGATTTTCTTCGCGCTTTCAGCAACACAACCTTTTTTGAGATGTTTTGTGGGTTAGTGTGCGTGAAAAAGCAAACTTTTTCAAACTTTTCGAATGCAAAAGCACGATTATAAAAATGTAAAAATGTTTTCTTTTTTCCCTAGAATCTATCACTCTTTTCAACATTGTGCATCAAAATGTGAAACTGGATACTTGCATCAAATGTTAATGCGATCTTCCGAAATCATTGATCATTATTGTGTCTACAATCGAAAAGGTTTCTTCAGCTTAGATAGGAAATTAACGGAAATTTCTTTCCATCGACAAAAGAATTCTTTCTTTTTTGATTTGTAAAGTAAAAGTGTTTGTTTAAATGTAATATGAATCGTGAAACAAAGAAATATTAAAAGCATTTACAGCAATTTACAGCAATCGGTGAGAAATTCCCGTGTCTTTCTTCAATTCGTCCATCTGATCAATGCCTTAAAACTTGCACTTCACATCACGATGCTGTCACTTCACTAATTGGAAATTTTAGGTGTAAATGATTTGAGTTATGCATTTATCGTTCCCTAATTTGAAAGCGACGAAATTCGATTCGATTCGATTCCTTTCTATCATTGAAACAATCAACTTTTTAGACATTTGGCTCTTAATGGAGACACGTCACAAGCTGAGCGATATCTTGAGGAAAGTTGCGAGTGAGTTGACATCAGATATCAAAGAGTTGACATCAGATACCTAACTACCCAAATCATTGCTGATATTCAAACATTTAAGATATGTCATCTGTTCCCTGCACTGCGATGTGCCCACAATAGCGCATGACTGTGATTTCGAGACGGCGAATTTGGTTTGTTAAAGGAAAACGTTTAAAAAATCATAGTACTAGACATGAAATCGTAAAGCTTTCAGGTAATCAACTTGACGAGACGAAGCTTTGAGTCGATGCAGAGCCTTGCACTCGACATGGGCACACTCAAAAAGTTCGGGTTTATTGAAAGGATGTTTATCAAAAGGGAAACTCGTATCTTTAGATATTTAGATCAATTTTAGTTTAGATCTATCCTATTTAGCTTAATCATAACTTAGATGGCCAAAAATGTGCGAGGATATTTCAACGTATCGTCTACCACAGCCAAGTATCGCTCCGAAATTCGATGGGAATTCGTTGATTGCTGAAGTGGCACCCGTTTTGTAAGTGGAAATATTGAAAGTTAGAAATTTCAGAAAAATAGTTAAGCCTGAGCTTAAAGGTTAAAATCAAATGAGAAAATTGATTTTAATAACATATTTTTCAAGTCCAACAACCAAACCACCACAATCGGCTCGACAATCGGCTCAACAATCAGCTTCACAATCGGCTTCACAATCAGCTTCACAAACGGCTCCGATAATTGAAAATTCGAAAGGAAAAATTTCGATCATAATCATTTTAACTATTTTAATTGTTTTTTTCTTATATTAACGCCTTTTTTTTTGCCATTTTCAAGTCAATGAAACGGGTTTATTTTACCTATTTTGAGTTTCTTTCGTGTTTGTAAATATTGGTAAAGATTGAACAATGAAAGACAAACTAAAAACTAAAATTATCGTAATTTAACAATAACTAACAGTAACAATTCAAAAAAACTAGAGAAAAGTCTTCAACTTTACTATAAAATAGAAAAAAAAACTATTTCTTTTGCTTCTTCTACTAAATCGAACTGGGGAAATCTTAGTGTTGGACTCTCCTCTCCCAAAAAAGGCTTTGTTTCTCTCGATTCAATTACGAGAAGAGATCTTTCTTCTTCTTATTCTTTTCCTTTTCCTTCTTTTCCTTTCTCTTTTCCTTTCTCTTTCCAAATTCTCACAAATCTTTGATCAAAATTGAATGCTTGCATAATAGTTATTCTAATAATTTGTTAATGAAGTCTTTTTGAAGAAAAGAAACTGTAAGAAAAGTTGAGAGTGATTTGGAGTTGTATAAGCTAGTGTTGGACTCTCCTCTCCCAAAAAAGGCTTTGTTTCTCCCAATTCAATTACGAGAAGGAATCTCTCTTCAAAAAGCGTATTCTTCTTTTTTTTTTCTTTGTCATTTTTATTCTTATTCTTTTTCTTTTCCTTTCTCTTACATTCCCTACTTTTTGAATAAAGATCTTTCAATCAGAACTTGACTTGAGCGCTTCTTCTTTTCTTCAAAGAATACCCTTTCTTCTTCATCTTTTCTACTATTAAATTAATCAAAGAATCAAAGAATCAAAGAATTGATCTTTGTTTTATTTTTTTTGTTTGTTTTATTTGTTTTATTTGTTTTATTTTTTTTGTTTGTTTTATTTGTTTTATTTGTTTTATTTTTTTTGTTTGTTTTATTTGTTTTATTTGTTTTATTTTTTTTGTTTGTTTTATTTGTTTTATTTGTTTAAGAATGCTTTTTTATTAAAAAGTTCAGAAATTTAAAAAAAAAATCATATCTTTATGGCTTTAAAGGAGCTTAAATCTGAAATTTTGCAAGCCAAACCGAAATCAAACGTTTTAAGATCAAATTCTAAGTTATTAGGGTGGTGCAAAAGAAACTGCTGATTTGATGGTAAATTCAAAAAAAAGATGGCCTTCGATGGTGACATGATCACAATGGAATATTTTCGCAAGATTTCGAGCAGATTGGCATGGATCGGCCTGAATAACGTCCCTCAGCTTGGCTTCGTTCACGACTTATGGCCTCGAACCGTGCTCGTAATCTTCCAAAGTCTCGTCTCCCTCTCCGAATCGTTGAAACCAAGTCTGACACTGCCTGAGAGACAAACTGCCATCTCCGAAAGCAGCACAGAGAGAACGATGCGATTCGGGAGCAGACTTTTCAATTTTGAAGTTAAACAGTAATGCTGCTCGTAGCACAAAGCTACGCAGTACAAGCAAAGCTACGTAGCACAAACTTTTGCTCGACCATGATCTAAATAAAAAAATATAAGCATTTAAAAATCAAATAAACAACAACCAAAAAATTCAAATGTCGAAATAAATAGCAAACAAATATGCGAAGAAAACATAAAAAACTAATGCCGTTAGCATCGCTCGTTTCTGATAAATGAGAGCTGATACCCATCGGCAGTTTCTTTTGCACCACCCTAATAGTAAGTGATGCTTATGCTAGAAATCGAATTCATTCTGATTTCTAGAATCGATTCAGTGTTTAGTTACTCAAATTGTGTAAGTAATTTGATCATTTTAAGTTCTAGGTAACGAGTAAAATGTGCTAGTAAATGAATAGCATTCAATTTTCTTCTCGAAATCAATTTTCTTTTTATTTATTCGAATTTTGAAATGTTTTTGAAAACAAATCCTTCTTTCTACTTGTTAAAAACATTTAAAAAACAAATTTTCTTCTTTTCTTTTCAACAATAACAAGGAAATTGTTCTCGTTTTAGAGAAAAGCATTTCTCATTTCTCTTTTTGAATATTAAATTATGAGAATTGCAACTAGATCTTCAGCTTTCTCAGTAAGAAATGCGTGCAAACTTGCAAACTTTTCTTTTCCGCTTTCTTTTCCACTTTCTTTTCCACTTCCTTTTCCACTTTCCTCTCGACTTTCCCCTCGACTTTTTATCTGATCTCAAATTTATTCAACTTCATTAAATCAGTGACCTCTTCTTTGTTTGCGCAAACACTTTTCCATTCTTTTTCTATTCAATTAACCATTTGATCATTTGATTCATTTATGCCTAAGCCTAAACCTAAGCCTGAGCCTGAGCCTAACCCTAAGCCTGAGCCTAAGCCTAAGCCTGAGCCTAACCCTAAGCCTGAGCCTAACCCTAAGCCTGAGCCTAAGCCTAAGCCTGAGCCTAACCCTAACCCTAAGCCTAAGCCTAAGCCTAAGCCTAAGCTTTTCTTTCCCTTTGAAAAAAGAAAAGCATTCTTTATTACCATCATCAGCAATAGCAAAGACAATTTGGTAATCAAGCAAAAGAAAGCGACTTGCACTGGGCTTATTGAAGAGCTGATTCAGGCTGGAAAGCTAAGTCTAAACCTTGTCCAAACCTCGCCGGAGTTAGCCGACAGTAAAGTCCTGCATCAAGAGGAGTTTTTTTTTTTGGGGGATTTTTGAATTTGGAATTGATTTTTGTACACCGTGTCCACATAAATAACTAAAATAACTTCGCTTTTGATCTTTAATTTCACAAATAATTCTTAAATTTCAATTAATTTCCAATATGAAGGAAAGTTTGATCTTTTCTTTCCCTTTTTCTTCCTTTTCCTTCATTTTTTCACCCATAAATCTTTCATATTCAATCAGAAATTTGAGGTGAAAGCTCAGGAAATGTACATCATTTTTCGTTTTTTTTTTTTTTAAATTAATAAACTATTCGAAGATTTCTTATATAAAATATGGAAAAAAAAAGAAAAGAGAAAACTAGATTTGAAATAAGTTTTAGAAGTAGTTTTAAAGTAAGCATAAACAAGACATAAACAAGACAAGAAAACTTTAGATATAAAATTGTCAATAAATATTCAATAAAGTTGTTTGAAGTTGAATATTGGGATGAATGAATGAATGAAAATGAATGAAAATGAATGAAAATGAATATCCCATTGGGAAATCCAAAAAAAAAAACCTTCTTTCTTTATTTACTTTAGAAGATATTAGAAAAACAAAATGATTACTGATCATTGAGAAATTCAAAAATAAAATTTCTGTGATTTCCTCACTTTTTTCGTATAATTGAGGGTAGATCCTGATTTTGAAATTGTCAAAATTTTAGCTGATAATCCAGTTCGATCACTCTTTCTTTTTTTTAATTCTTTATTTGATCTTTGATTCTAAAAACTCTTTTCAGAGTAGGCTAACTTCAGGGTAGGCAACTTGATCGTTTACACAAATCGCCATACCTAGCCTTACTTACAGCGCAGTAATCTTATCATTAAATATCGAAATCTTATCTTTTTGTAGCTTGTTCATAGGGGGCACGCTAATTTCCGCCATTTTATTTGCGCAACAGAATCATTTGCGCAACTGGGTCATTTACGCAACAGGATCGTTTACGCAACTTGATCGTTTACGCAACTGGGTCATTTACGCAACAGGATCATTTACGCAACAGGATCATTTGCGCAACTCGCCATAACTTTCTTCTAAGTCGATCAATCTTTATGATTTTGATTTCATTTTGTACATCTCGATAAGTGAAACAAAATGAAATTAAAAGCATAAAGATTGGTCGACTTAGAAAAATGTTAGGGCGAGTTGCGGAAATAAAATTGCGGAAATTAACCTGACCCCTCTTTTCATTCAAATCAGAAACCTTTTTTCTAGAATTCTAGAAGATTTTTCTTTTTTTCTTTTTGAAATACTAATTTTTCTCAAAATTCTACATTTCTAAGGATTTTTAATTGGATCTTTTCATTGCATTGCATTGCAACAAATGCAAAACCTTCCCTCCGACACCTTTCTGAACACTCTTTTTTCGATCATCAATATAATATGAAAACTTTGAAAAGAAAAGAGTTTTGCTTATCCAAACAAAAACTAAATCGCTGTAGATTACATCGAATTGTTTTCATCCTATAATTATGCAATTGGCTTTGATTTCCCTAGCCTAGAGTATCCAAAAAAAACTGTTTTTTTTGATATGAATCAATAAAACGAATACCTCGAATCGATTCGCCGACCCTGAAAACCCCCAGGTAAGAATTTACAGCTGAATATCTTTTTTGTAACATTTACAAAACAAAAGAATACCGAAATGTTCTTTGTGCGCGCACACAATCGCTCTCCATCTGGCAAACGCCTCTGGCATTGGGTGGTTCCCCTTTGAAATCGGTCAGCAAGATGTCCCGCTTTCTTGGCCTCACTCTACCCAAATCTTTGAGATCAATTTCTCTGGAAAGTTCGCTTGTATTTTGTTATAAATTCGACATCCTGTTCAAGCACTTTGTTACTTAAACAAGCAACTAAACTGGAAGAAAACTAAACTAAACTAAGCCTTGAACACACTAGCCTCTTCAGTCTACCATTATCGATGGATTGAAACTTGAAAATTTAAGAATATATTCAAAATTTCACTCTGTTCCCTTTTGTGGTTTACTTTGAGATTGCACTTCCGCTTGTCTCAACCCAAATTTCCTCCATTTACCGATTCGTTTCCCCTTCTTCTCCTTAAAAAGTAAATAACGAATCTTTTGGAAGAGAGAAGATCTGTGAGAAAAAATGAAAAGAGGATGAGGAAAGATAAAGAACGAGAATGAAATGGAGAATGGAGAATGACTCTTTCTTTCCAAATCTCTTTCTTTCCAAATCTCTTTCTTTCCAAATCTCTTTCTTTCTAAATTTCTTTCCAAATTCTCACAAATCTTTGATCAAAGTTGAATGCTTGCATAATAGTTATTCTAATAATTTGTTAATGAAGTCTTTTTGAAGAAAAGGAACTGTAGGAAAAGTTTGAGAGTGATTTTGAGTTGTATAAGCTGACCTGGATGCCCATCGACTTT